CTCCGAGACTGCGCAGCCGCGTGCCCAGTTCACAGTCCACGACCGGTCGGGGGTTCTGGGGCGCCACGCTGAACCCGTCGTGCTGGCCACACATGTCCCCCCCGACGACGACCCCACCCAACCAAGTTTAATCATATTTTTATTATACACTTCTTCACATGTGTCGCTCGTTCGTAAGGCACCCTCGAGTTCGTTCGATCGACAATGTCAAGTCGAAGATCCAGGACAATAAAGGTATCCCCCCTGACCAGCAACGACTTATCGTTGCGGGGAAGCAACTGGAACTCGGTCGCGCCCAGATCCGAAGGAGTCGACTCTGCACTTGGTGCTTCGCCTTGGGGTGGAGGTTGCAAATTGTGTTGACAGGACTAATTGTAATTCTTAATGCAAAGTGATTTCTTGTGTTAATATGTGTACTATGGGCATCAGTTGTTTGTATGCCAGTCCAGCATTGCAAAGCACGAGTTCGAATGCAATTGTGATCACCCCGGCAAACTCATAAGAAGCATAAATATTGATGATATTAAGGTCAAATAACTAAGTAGGACACTCGACAAGGAGTGCTTCAAGGCAGCAATGCACCGAGCAAGTTGATGGCGCATTGAATGAACGGCATGAGATGCGATTCGCACAACATCTTGCACGACCAGTCGAAGCCTCGCACGAACATCCGCTTCGAGTTATGCAGCCAGTCACTTCCGACAACTTCGTCCCGCCATGAGCTCAGAATGCCTTGCATCGTGAATGCCACGGAGAACGGCGCGTCGTCGTCCTCGTCGATGACGGAGCTGACACTCAACCGCTCACCTTGGTTGCAATGGTCTTCGTTGTCATGTGGCCACGAGTCTTGTGGAGTTTCCAGCATGCTGGAGAAGTCGATAGCCTCGAGGGCGGCAATGAGCTCGTCAATGCTCTGGGTTGGTGTCGGCATCGTGTTGATGACGTCCTCCAGGTCACCCCACTGAGCCATAAGCACTTTGAGGGGCGAAGACATCCCAAGGGGTTCACCCTCTTCGACCACAGGCTCGACCTTGGTGGTCATGGGCGTCGTCGACTGGATCGGGGACGTTGGCGACAAGATGTCCGTCGCACACGATGGGTTGAAGGCATCGCCACAGAGCCCCCGCTGGTCGCCTGCTGGGGACGAGGAACTGGTGCAGCTGCTGAGCCATAGGGACCACTAGAGAATGGACGTGAGAGATGTCGTAGGTAGAGGATCTTACCACAAAGTCCATCGCGGCCACTATCATGTCGTAAATTCGATCCATGGTCTTGTATAAGCAAACTGGAAATGAGTGTCGGTGAAATGAAAAGTTTCACCTTGTCGCAGTCGGAAATTTTGGGAAAATAGTGTGTGCCGTTGGATGTGTTTATTTTGACGCATTTTGGCGTGTCACTTTACGAACAATGTACCGTACGAGAGCGTTACTAAGCGCTTCCACTGACACGCCAAAATGCGTCAAAATAAACACCTCCAACGACACTCACTATACTCCCAAATGTTTTGAAAACATTTGAAAACATTTGGGAGAATAGTGAGTGTCATTGGAGGTGTTTATTTCGACGCATTTTGGCGTGTCACTTTACGAAATTAACCGTAGGAGAGCGTCACTAAGCCCATCAGCTGACACGCCAAAATGCGTCGAAATTGACACTTCGACCATCACTCACTATTCTCGCAATCTTTTGAAAACATTTGGGAGAATAGTGAGTGATGTTCGAAGTGTTTATTTCGACGCATTTTGGCGTGTCACTTTACGAACAATGTACCGTACGAGAGCGTTACTAAGCGCATCCACTGACACGCCAAAATGCGTAAAAATAAACACATCCAACGGCACACACTATTTTCCCAAAATTTTCGACTGCGACAAGGTGAAACTTTTCATTTCAACCGACACTCATTTCCAGTTTGCTCTTACAAGACCATGGATCGAATTTACGACGTGATATTAATGACTCCCAAC